ACATCTCAGAAGTTGAGAAACAATTTCCTTTAAAAGTTATTTCTTTTGTTCAGGATAATTTACAACATATGTTTTTGTGAATCTGCCTAGGGCATCAAGCCTGATGTGGTTAGGTTAACTTTAGTGCCAGAGTCTTTCACTCATGACTTCATGCAGCAGTTGAGCTTTCCTAAAGTTCTAAACCCACATTATGTCTGTGGTGCTTCTTTGCATTATAACTCCTTTTAACATTTTTACATGACAGAAAGTCAGATGTTGGAGGAAGCCTTCAGAGGAATTTAGGATATCAGCTCAATTTGTCTGAGATAAACAGGAGGAGTTTGGATGTGTTGAGCAGTTTTGCCAAGAGGAGATTTGTCCTCAACAATCATAACAACTTTTTGGTTGAGTGGATCTGTGACATCTTCATTTAAATTTTCCAAAGATGGACTTCATTTTCCCCCTGAAACCAAACCTCAGTTACTAGTAATACAATGTGTAAAATAGTTGAGTCCACTGCGGTCCAAACAAATTTAACTTTGAAAGAGTTGTTTTTAAAAATAACCTATTTCTGTTTGATTATTAAAATGCAGTTTTTAAAATGATTTTTTCACATTTCTGTTAAACATAGTTTCGTTGTTGCACTAACTGCTTTGCTGCTGATGCTGAATGTGTGTAAATTCTGGCAGCAGATCCTTTTATAACCAAATACCACTTAAAATGAATGGAATAGTACCAGTTACGTCCCACCTTAAGACTGTTGGAAATACATAATATGCCTTTCAGCAATGGTGGTAGCGGGAAAGAAATATCTCTTTAGTACTAAATCTTTAAGATCTACAGTTGTCTGAGTTTCTATTTCCAGCAAATGACATGCTTTAAATGTTCAGGTTTTCCTCTGTGTACATTTTTGCAGTAACAAAGTATAGAGATTAAAAGAATAGATCAAATCCCTAAAATGTGCTGTGGAGAATCTGTTTTTTACGGCTAGATTGATTTAAAAAAAAAAGGAACTCTGTTAAAACCTTGGGTAAAAGTTTATATTTCTTGCAGCAGCCTCTGCATGTGAAATGTAGTTGGCAAGTATTTTTATGTGTGCCTGTTAGTTTGAATGCACGATGCTGATCTGTTTTTTGTCCTCCCTGACGGTTATTATATCCTAATGGGTGCAACACTGCACTAATGATCCTTGTATATATAAATTCTTCTTGTTGTGTGCAGACACCATAGGGCCACATAAAAATGTTTGCCTCAATTTCCCTGCAAAAAAAGAGCTCAGAAACCAGACTTGGCCAAGTAACAGATTTTTAAAGGTAGAGGAACCCAATAAAATTACCAGCTTTGCACAGCGTGAGTCTACTTCCTTTTGACATATTGTGAGGTGTAGGTGAAATATTCTAACTGAACTGACAGTGTAAGGAGGACAGCTAACTAGAAGGCAAGATAAAAGTAAAAACCACCAATGATGATTGATATTGCAGTAGCTATTAATTGTTTTGGAACCTCTTTTGTAGATTTCTGACACTTCACCTTTATAACTTACTCCTATGCAAGTCTTGGTGTAATGAGATTTAATCTAGTAAAGTCAAATTTACTGTATCAGGGAGTAATTTTTAATACAGTCGTTTCTTGAGACACGAGTCACAAAATGTTTTTTAAGAGGATTAAGGAGCTTTAGCTTCATCTAGCTTTGAAGAAAAAAGTAAAAATCATCACAGAATGCTTCTTTCATATAGTTCAATGAATGTTGTTAAAATGGCACCAATTCAAATGAGGTTATGAAACATATTGTGAGTTTATTGCACACACTTGAAGTATGGTATATAAAGCTCAGGGTTCAGATACTGTGCAACTGGGAACTTGGGGATCATTGCCATCACTCCAGAATTTGAGAGGCGGGGGGTAAGAAACCAAGCAAATTGTTATGATTGTACATTTTTCCATTTTTGTACAGTGCTTCCAACATGAAGGATGCTAGTGTTGTTGAGAGTGGGTGAAGAAAAGACATAGGGCTAGATTATTAAAGGTATTTAGGCACCTACAGATGCAGAAAGATGACTAGAAGTATTTTCAAAAGCACATGGATGCCCAACTGCCACTTTTGAAAATCCCACAAGAGATCTACATGATTCTTTAGGTGCCTGAATATATTTAAAAATCTGGCCCTTAGGCCCCAATTCAGTTGATAGCAGGTGAGCTCAGCTGTCTGCCTGTGCCTTAGCAATAACTGCAGTAAGTCAGAAAGCAGTATCTCCATGCTGTTTAATACAAGTAATCAGTTGTTCAAAAGATAAATTAACTCATGCTCATCTTCCTTTGTATTTTAAGCTTAATATTGATTATTATTGATTCAGTTTTAGGTCTGTTTATATATCAGAATATATTGGAATATTTTATTTTTTCCCCTTATCATTTTGAGGCTCAATGATTGGCTTAATCCTCTCAGTTTATTTTAATGTGACTGGTTATTGTACTCTTCTGTATTTAGCAATAGTTATATTTGGGTATTTAGCATAAAAATGAAAAATGTCCGTAATGTTGGAGCCTTTTCTGTCCAGTAAACCATCCTCCATTTGGAGATATAAGCACTAATATAACAACAATCCTGATTTTTGAGTTATCATTCTTGTACTTTCTGTAATTTAAACCGCCAGTTATAATTATATTTCTGTACATTTAAGATCTTTGTCATTAATTACTACTTTTCTCATCCATCGAAGTAGTAAAAATTGTTGTACATTGCTTCATTGAAAATCCATTTACCAGTTTGAACTAAACAACTATACGTACTGTAGAAGCTGATGGAAAGACATACCGGTGAAATCTACTAAAAAAAAATAATAAAAATCTTCCCTTTTTAAATACATTTTTCAATAGCCCAAGGTTGGATGGGAGAGGAATGAAACTGAGAGGGGAAAATTTAAGCTAAAAATCAGAAAAATGTCTTGATAATGAGATATATTAGGCTGTAGAAATGGTCTTTCAAGAGAAGTCCCAGTCTCTTGGGACCTTTTGAAATTGGACTGGATAGTACATTAGAAAACGTCTTATATAGAACAAGCTTCAATTGGCAGGTAGATGATCTAATAAATTCCATCTCTAACTATGTTTATTTGAATATAAAGTAATTAGCTTAGCTGTTTAGTTTTTTTGTATTTGTCTAAACATTTTAGTTCTAAAAATGGGACAAATATAGAAGTATTCTTCCTTTTTTTCCATTGGTAATACCTTTCTCCCTGCCACTTTCCTTCCCCTCTAGCCAAGATGTAATGTCAACAACAGATGGAATCATAATTGACAGACAAAATTTTAAAGCCTTCTAAATGTCACTGATCGTTTTAATAAAATTAATTAGCCTGCCACAGAGAAAATTTACTAGCCTGCTGGTTAATTTCACAATGTAAAATCGTGGGGTAGGAGGGAGTGGGGGAGAAACCTTATTACTTTTGAATAATTATTTAAAGATGTGTGCCTTGCCTAATTCAAACATCATCGATGGCGAATGCAACAACAGCTTTTTATATCTTTTAAAATTGCAAGTGATCACATCTCAATATATAAGTGAGGAAATCAAATACAGCTGAAATTTAAAGGTATCGATCGGGTACCAACTAATGATAATCCACTGGTCACATAGAAAACTACTGAAACCTAAGTTTTGGTGGTGATGCTATTAATATTCCTATTACTATTCAATGTAAGCAAATAATTTAGATTCAAGATACAAAGTGACTTGAAATTATATGCCTAAATTAATTTAATGTTCTGAATCTTGATAAAAACACATTTTGTTTTCAGAAGAAATGAGATCTTTAGTCAGTTCTGTGACATTACATAAAAAATCTTATTGGCAGCGAATATTCACTTCACAGTGTACCTAATATACCTGTAGTCTGATTTAGTTTTGAAAAACATGACTAATGTAGTGCCTAAATTAAATTGCAGTGAGACACGCAGATGATAGAATTAAATACCATGAAGTTCAGATCTTCAGTAGGAACTAGTTTAGCCTTTTTCCTTTTTTTTTTTTAAATTCCATTGGGCAAATGAAGTGAACAGTAATCTGCTGAATAGAGAAGTTCATATATCTCTATTAGAGCTGATTGGAAATTTCCCCGCAGAACAGGTTTCCAATGAAAAATGCTGCTTTAACAAAATCAAAACATTCTGTAGGAACATGTCAGTTCTGTCAATGTTTGAGAGAAACCTGCCTGGCTTCCTGCCAGCTCACCTGCTCACCTCCCCAAGCTTCCCAGCTCTTCAGCAGCCCACCTATCAGGCTGCTGGGGATCCAGCAATTCCAGGCTCCACGCCAGCCTAGCCTACCAGGGCTTCTAGCCTCTTGACTCCTTGACATCCTGGCTGTTAAGAAGCCAGAGAATCCAGGTTCCCCAGCTGGCCAGCTCCTTGGAGTGCCAGGCAGCCAACTGGCCACTTCCTTGGCTCCTTGTTGTCTAGCTCCCCAAGCAACCCAGGATGCTGGGTGGCCAGCTGATCAGCTCCCTGGGTTCTTAGGCTCCCAAGCAGCCTGTCCCAAATTGGGAAAAAGTCAAAACATTAATCTTTCAAGTGAGCTACATTTTTAAAAAGTCCATTTCTGGAGAACAGTAATGAATTTTTTCAGCTTTTTCCTGGAGCAGCTCCCATCCCAGGCTAGGCCCCAGGCTGCCTGACTCCCTGGGCAGCCAGTTCCCCGACTGCCTAGGTGCCCATCTCCATGGCCCAACCTATAGAGCCACTTGCATTGGGAGTCAGGCAGCCCCAGGAGCAAGCTGAAAAAATTCATTACAGTTCTCTGAAACTTAATATTTTGAAAATTCAACTCCTGTGACATATTTAGAATTTTTGATTTTCTCCCAATTTGGGACAAAAAAAAATCAAAAACTTCAAAAAATTTTGTTGGAGTTCAGTTCTGTTTTCTGTCCAGTTGTGTTACCTAGATATGCAAGATATGTTACCTAGAAAACAGGTTAACCCAATATGTTTTTTTAGTGTGTAATTTTTTATTTTATCCTTTACAGCTACACTAAATGTGGATGACTCCATAGTCGACCTGGAAACACTGGAAGCACTGTATGAGAATGTAAGTATGACAGGAAAACATGTGTAAGAGCACAATATTCATAGCTTCAGATTTTTACCAAGTGCAAACACACACAAAAAATAAATACAATTTTATTTTGTGACCGTATTACACAAGAGAGAGTATATAAAAATTGATTTTTCTTAGGGAATGTAAGAGTATTAGTGGATATCATCAAAATGTAGTTAGCCAACACAGTGCATGTATTTTGCCAGATCAAGTCTCCCAGTGGGAATATAAACCAATCCAATCCAATTGGAGCTGGATTAAGATTAAATAAATTGCAACAAAAGACATTGCATGACCTGTCATCTTCTCCCCCACAAAATATTGGCCTCCCACCACAAAGAGGCTCCTCCTCACTGTCTATATCTTCTCTCACTCCTATCATACCTTGGGCAGACTTTTCCTTCTCCCCTCCCCTTGTTTCACTTTTCTTTAAGTCATAGCCTGGGAGGGTGTCCCCTTTCCAGATCTTCCCCCCCTCAAACTTTAAGACTACTTTTAAGCCATAATATGTGATTTGCTTTGTCTTGCCTGACCGAGTCAACTATTCTACAACACAGTGCAGTGTGCAATAGCTTTCTATTTGGTAACCAGGAAGCTCTAGAGGGAGTTGACTTATGAGGCAGAGTAACTGGCAGAGGAAGGGGAAGCAAAGCATCTACAGGACGCTGCCAGGAGATATCTTTGACCTTGAAGTGTTTAAGCTCTGAGAAGGAATATTCCCAATCTCGTTGTGGGGAAGGGGTTTTCTCTACTCTCTCTCTCTAATCTGTAAAATGGGAAGGTAAATGTGGAAACATGTTTAGGGGCTGTTTTTGGAAACTGGAGTATAGGACAATTTGAAGGCCTTCTGTAATGTAAGATTTAGAACTGGTGCACAGAGGTATTAATCTGCTATGCAATAGAATAAATTTGATTTTGTATTATGACCTTCGTAAAACAGTATCATAGAATGCTTCACGGAATTAAATAATACAGGGGAAAAATTCAACTACAAAATGAAAATAGAGAAATAGTTATGTGAATGTGGTGATGGGTTTATGGCAACTTTCTGTATTTATATCCTGCTGGCTATGAAAAGGGGGTCTCTGTCATGAGAGCACTTGCCCCTACAGTGAGGGAAACAGCATTATAGGTGCAAACGCTGGCTAGGCTGTAGTTAAAGGAGAAAATCCTCAGAAAAGTTCTTCAGTAGGATCCAGCCAAGATAAATATAATGACAAAGCAGAGAAAATAAGTCTTGAATCACATAGGTGAGAAACATTGAAAGATATCAAGTGTTCTTCATAATTCAACTCTGTCTCCTGATCTGTATACTAAGTATCATTCCTGGGGGATGTTGGAAAAAAAGAGAGTACAAAATGTAAAAATGGTGACCATTTACGAATGTTCTCATTTTAGCAGAGCCACAAAGTTCAGCTGCAGACCTCAATCTCCCCAAAGTTTGGGACTCTTTGGGTCTTGAGTAGTGGTTTGGGCCTACCTCTTATTTTCTGAATAATTTTTCATGTTCCTGTATGGTGTCTTACGAGTGACACATGGGCAACTCAGTATAGAGTTACAATGAAAATGAAATACAAATTATACTGTGTTGAATTGTACTCTATTGAATGTAAGCAGAAAGAAAAAATGTTTATCAACATTACTTTGAGAAAGGAGGGGAATGCCTATAGAAATAGTACAGAGTACCCTGTTAATCTTTTATATTACCTCACTTCTGCACTACAGAAACTTGTGTACATGTGGGAATGTGGAAAAGCAGTGACTTTTGGTAAGGAAGCCTGAACAAATTTAATTATATTGAATCAAGTCCTTACCAAATTTGGAAAAAAATTAGCATTACTGGTAGAATAGGGGACAACTTAAGTAAAGCAGTAAGCCAACTTAAGTAAGTAAAACCAACTTAAGTAAAGCAGATGAAGGATTTGTTGAATAAGGCATGTTCTCAACTTTATCAAGAAACTTTGAGACAAAAAAACCCTGCATAATTGTAAAATTATTACTGATATCAGGATGAGAATACATTTTACTGATCACATTTTTGTATCTTTTGACCTTGAGCAAAAGACAATGGCATGAGTTTAGCATATAGATTCACTTTCAGTCACACTAATATATATAGAATACATGAAGTGAGGCTCTGCATTTTCAGTAGCATGTATGATATTGGGGAAGGTATGTAAAAAGAGAATGGGTGGGGTTTTTAGAGATCAGCAAATAAGAAGATGGGTTGATTGTATTTAAAAGGAAAGCTTCTTATTGCTAGTTTCTAATTATAATCACACAGAGAGCGCAAAAGGATGAACTGGAGAAAATAAAGCAGTATTATGAGACTTCAAAAGAAGAGGAACTGAAGCTCTTGGACAAACCAGAACAGTAAGATTTAAAAAAATATATTTTTCCATTATGCAGAATCGCCATTTGCTAGGAGGCCGAGGGAGTGTAGGGACAGAAATCTGGCTGGTTAAGTCTTAAAAAATCCTTATTTCAAGAGATGGTGTGAAAAGTGATTATATAGTCCCTTTTTTGATGTACTGTGTATAACTTTCTATTGACTGGGACCACTATGACAGATGAAATATACTAATTTTGCTATGTGACCTTGAGGCAGTCACAATTTCTGTGCCTGCATGCTCTCATTTTTAAAATGCTTTATCTTCCTCTCCTAGGTATTGAGGCTGAATTAATATTTGTAAAGCAGTGACGTGCTTGGATGGAAAGGTGCCATAGAATTTGCTGTTATAATAAACCTCAAAAGCAAAATTCAAATTGCTCGAATTCCCAAATGGAATTATAATCCTATCGTTCAGAATGAACCTGTCTTTTATTGAAACAATGTATTTGATCCCAAATTTATGCCGAGCACTAGTTTCTGCTCCCTCCGTGCTGCTCCTTCCTCTTTACTGCTCTCCTCCTCCTCCACTGGCCCCCATCACTCTCCTTACCACCTGTGTTCCCACACTGAGGCCCCACTTTTCTACTCTTCACTATGCTGCTGCTCAGTCATCTTTGGTATAAGAGAGTGGGAGGAAATATGTGGATGATGAAGGAGGAACGGAGGCAGCAGAGATGGCATCTGAGTGTGAGAGCTGGGACACAGAGGGGATATGTTTTTACGTAGTTTCTTTAAGGCTGGAGGTTGGTGTTGGAGGGCAGAAAGATTTTTCTCCTTTCCTACCATCAGAGCAAGCCAAGCAGCTGTTGCTGACATCTGCATATGGGGGAATAGGTTAACGTCTGAGGGTATGAATATCTCCCAAATATTAAGACCTCAGAATACGAATGTCCTTCAAATTTATATACAATCTTGTTCATCTATCCCTTGTCTTTGTGCTTTCATTGACCACACTCAGATGAGCCTTGGCCTACAGCATGATACTTTGTGACTATTTGATATTTCACAGAGTCTAAATCTTTGGCAACCTATTTGCTATATCTCTGAGGGTATGGCTACACTACAAAATTAGGTCGAATGTATAGAAGTAGGTTTTGTAGAAAGCGTTTTTATACAGTTGATTGTGTGAGTCCCCACACAAATGCTCTAAGTGCATGTAGTTGGCGGAGTGTGTCCACCGTACTGAGGCAACCGTCGACTTCCGGAGCGTTGCACTGTGGGTGGCTATCCCACAGTTCACGCAGTCTCCACCGCCAATCTGAATTCTGGGTAGAAATCCCAGTGCCTGATGGGGCTAAAACATTGTCGCGGGTGGTTCTGGGTACATATCGTCAGGCCCCCGTTCCCTCCCTCCCTCCCTCTGTGAAAGCAAGGGCAAACAATCATTTTGTGCCTTTTTTCTTGAGTTACCTGTGCAGACACCATACCACGGCAAGCATGGAGCCAGCTCAACTAACCGTCACCGTGTGTCTCCTGGGTGCTGGCAGACGTGGTACTGCATTGCTACACAGCAGCAGTTTATTGCCTTTTGGCAGCAGACAGTGCAGTATGACTGGTAGCCGTCATCGACGTAGTCCTGGGTGCTCTTTTAATCGGGCGCCTGGGCAAACATGGGAGTGACTCAGCCAGGTCATTTCCCTTGTTTCATCTCATGGCGATTCAGTCCTACCAGCAGTGCACTGTCTTTTAATCTGCAGGGAACAGAAGATGATGGCCAGTAGTCATACTGCACGTCTTCTGCTGAGCACCCAGGTGTTGACGATGGCTAGCAGTTGTACTGCAGAGTCTGCTGCCATCAAGATGTATAAAGATAGATGAAGTGGCTCAAAACAAGAAATAGACCAGATTTGTTTTGTATTCATTTTCTCCTCCCTCCCTCCCTCCCTCTGTGAAATCAACGGCCTGCTAAACCCGGTTTTGAGTTCTATCCTTGAGGGGTCCATTCAGTTTCTCGCAAAGCTACCCCCTTTGTTGATTTTAATTCCCTGAAAGCCAACCCTGTAAGCCATGTTGTCAGATGCCCCTCCCTCCGTCAGGGCAACGGCAGACAATTGTTCCACGCCTTTTTTCTGTGTAGACGCCATACCACGGCAAGCATGGAGCCCGCTCAGATCACTTTGGCAATTAGGAACACATTAAACACCACACGCATTATCCAGCAGTATATGCAGCACCAGAACCTGTCAAAGCGATACCGGGCGAGTAGGCAACGTCAGCATAGTGACGTGAGTGATGAGGACATGGACACAGACTTCTCTCAAAGCACGGGCCCTGGCAATGTGGGCATCATGGTGCTAATGGGGCAGGTTCATGCGGTGGAATGCCGATTCTGAGCTCGGGAAACAAGCACAGACTGGTGGGACCACGTAGTGTTGCAGGTCTGGGATGATTCCCAGTGGCTGCGAAACTTTCGCATGCGTAAGGGCACTTTCATGGAACTTTGTGACTTGCTTTCCCCTGCCCTGAGGTGCAAGAATACCAAGATGAGAGAAGCCCTCACAGTTGAGAAGCGAGTGGCAATAGCCCTGTGGAAGCTTGCAACGCCAGACAGCTACCGGTCAGTCAGGAATCAATTTAGAGTGGGCAAATCTACTCTGGGGGTTGCTGTGATGCAAGTAGCCAACGCAATCAAAGATCTGCTGATATCAAGGGTAGTGACCCTGGGAAATGTGCAGGTCATAGTGGATGGCTTTGCCGCAATGGGATTCCCTAACTGTGGTGGGGCCATAGACGGAACCCATATCCCTGTCTTGGCACCAGAGCACCAAGCTGGAGAGTTCATAAACTGCAAGAGGTTCTGCAAGCACTGGTGGATCACAAGGGACGTTTCACCAACATCAACATGGGATGGCCGGGAAAGGTACATGACGCTCGCATCTTCAGGAACTCTGGTCTGTTTCAAAAGCTGCAGGAAGGGACTTTATTCCCAGACCAGAAAATAACCTTTGGGGATGTTGAAATGCCTATAGTTATCCTTGGGGATCCAGCCTACCCCTTAATGCCATGGCTCATGAAGCCATACACAGGCAGCCTGAACAGTAGTCAGGAGCTGTTCAACTACAGGCTGAGCAAGTGCAGAATGGTGGTAGAATGTGCATTTGGATGTTTAAAAGCGTGCTGGTGCAGTTTACTGACTCGGTTAGACCTCAGCGAAACCAATATTCCCACTGTTATTACTGCTTGCTGTGCGCTCCACAATATCTGTGAGAGTAAAGGGGAGACATTTATGGCGGGGTGGGAGCTTGATGCAAATCGCCTGGCTGCTGGTTATGCACAGCCAGACACCAGGGTGGTTAGAAGAGCACAGGAGGGTGTGGTGTGCATCAGAGAAGCTTTGAAAACCCGTTTCATGACTGGCCAGGCTACGGTGTGAAAGTTCTGTTTGTTTCTCCTTGATGAAACCCCCCCGCCCCTTGGTTCACTCTACTTCCCTGTAAGCTAACCACCCTCCCCACCTCCCTTGGATCACCAATTGCAGAGGCAATAAAGTCATTGTTGCTTCACATTCATGCATTCTTTATTCATTCATCACACAAATAGGGGGATAACTACCAAGGTAACCCAGGAGGGGTGGTGGAGGAGGGAAGCACCAGGAGGGGTGGTGGAGGAGGGAAGGACAAGGCCACACAGCACTTTAAAAGTTTAAAACTTTAAAACTTATTGAATGCCGGCCTTCTGTTGCTTGGGCAATCCTCCTGGGTTGAATGGCTGGGTGGCCGGAGGCCCCCCCACCGCGTTCTTGGGCATCTGGGTGAGGAGGCTATGGAACTTGGGGAGGAGGGTGGTTGGTTACACAGGGGCTGTAGCGGCAGTCTGTGCTCCTGCTGCCTTTCCTGCAGCTCAACCATACACTGGAGCATATTGGTTTGATCCTCCAGCAGCCTCAGCATTGAATTCTGCCTCCTCTAATCATGCTGCCACCACCTTAGAGCTTCAGCCCTCTCTTCAGCCCGCCACCTCTCCTCCTGGTTATTTTGTGCTTTTCTGCACTCTGACATTGTCTGCCTCCTCACATTCGTCTGTGCTCTGTCAGTGTGGGAGGACAGCATGAGCTCAGAGAACATTTCATCACAAGTGCATTTTTTTCACCTTCTAATCTTCGCTAGACTCTGGGAAGGAGAAGATCCTGTGATCCTTGAAACACATGCAGCTGGTGGAGAAAAAAAAAGGAACAGTGGTATTTAAAAAGACATATTTTATAGAACAATGGGTACACTCTTTCGTGGTAAACCTTGCTGTTAACATTACATACATAGCACATGTGCTTTCGTTCCACGGTCGCATGTTGCCTCCCCACTCCGCGTGGCTAGCCCCTCCCCCCTCTCCGTGGCTAACAGCGGGGAACATTTCTGTTCAGCCACAGGCAAACAGCCCAGCAGGAACGGGCATCTCTGAATGTCCCCTTAAGAAAAGCACTCTATTTCAACCAGGTGACCATGAATGATACCACTCTCCTAAGGATAACACAGAGAGATAAAGAACGGATGTTGTTTGAACGCCAGCAAACATACACTGCAATGCTTTGTTCTGCAATGATTCCTGAGTACATGCTACTGGCCTGGAGTGGTAAAGTGTCCTACCATGGCGGATGGAATAAGGCTGCCCTCCCCAGAAACCTTTTGCAAAGGCTTTGGGAGTATATCCAGGAGAGCCACGAATGCCAGGGCAAATTAATCATTAAACATGCTTGCTTTTAAACCATGTTTAAAAAGGTACACTCACCAGAGGTCCCTTCTCTGCCTGGCAGGTCCGGGAGGCAGCCTTGGTGGGTTCGGGGGGTACTGGCTCCAGGTCCAGGGTGACAAACAGTTCCTGGCTGTCGGGAGAACCGGTTTCTCCACTTGCTTGCTGTGAGCTATCTACAACCTCATCATCATCATCTTCCTCATCCCCAAAACCTGCTTCCGTATTGCCTCCATCTCCATTGAAGGAGTCAAACAACACGGCTGGGGTAGTGGTGGCTGAACCCCCTAAAATGGCA